TCGAGCATCCAAAAACTTTTCCCGTCGAAATCTATATTGGAGCAATTGCCGTGATTGCCGTGTATATGTTCCACGTGCTCCTACTAATCTCTCCAACTTGCTATGGACTTGGAACTCCATTTGGCCTTATCAACATACTAAAACGACTGGGCAACGGTATTGCAGTAGCAATGACCCTTGAAAACATAGCCGATGCCCTTGCGCAAGCGTAGGCCGGGAAAATTCGTTCTATGTAGATCCCGATTTCTTTCACGCCAACGCGATAGAAGCGTTAATCACCAGGATCGCGCGTGTTCACGAACATCGCGAGAATGCCAAATGTAACCAAAGTGCCTGTAGAATGACGATGAGAGCTTTCTGGCTTGCGTGTTCGTTGTCTCGTAGAGAATTCGTTACGCTGACTTGCGAACGCGAGCGAGAAGTGTAACCGCGCAATTGCACGCGCGATTGAAGCTCGGAAACCGGATAAATCGAGCGCGACATCGACACACGTGTGTCGCTTGTCATTAAGGCCGGCCGGTTATTCGAAAAACTTTCCTAGAACCAATTTTCATGCTCGCGCCGCAAGAGGCAAGAGAAATATCCGCGCGCGGACGCTTCTTGCTGCTACGACCACGTCTTCCACTAGACCTGTCGATTTGACAATCGCAAAGTGCCTTGAGCGTTTTATTAGAGGGCCTTCCGCGCTCAATGCCTCTTTGCGATGCGCGCTTACGCGCGGCCAACGCCGTGTAAACAGCGCGAGCGGAGAATGACGTGTAAAGGTTGATCCGCGTTGGAGGATTTTACGGGCAGGCCGACCTGTTACGCGTACATTTTTAACAAGACGCGAGCGGAAAAAAGCTTTTTCGACGGAAGCTGCGGTTCGGCTTTCGATTCGCTGATTTGTAGTCGAACGCCACCATATACGTCAATTGCGTCGTTGGAGTTTATTAATACCGTCATCAATGCGCCGAAGTCGAGCTATAGCCTCGTAATGGCGAGTTTATTTTTAAAAATGGTTTTTAGTGGAAAACGACATACTCGTTTGCGTTGTAACCTGTTGTCTTAAAAAAAGCCGCTCGAAGATACTCGTCCGAATCGTTGAAAAATTGAGAGCTTATTTTAGAGACTAATGTTGCATATTAACTGCCTCGATTTCCAAAGTTTCAGCAAAACCCAATGACACATAGGCATGCCAGTTAGTCTTATCTTTCACAGCCGACATGCGGATAACTGACAGGTTGCGGTAACTCTGCACGAATGGTACGTTAAGGTACCACGCAAGACCGGCTTATCATGATAAACTGGGAAATTTGGAATACTTACCAATTAGTATGTTTTATGTTCGTTGTATTATTTGTTTCTTTGTCAAATGTTTGTCAACTCATTCGGAGGGGGAGGGGGGTAGTGCCGCTCGTGCATTTTTTTGCACTGCTATCGAAAGGTCGATGCGCTTTATCACATTTACCATATCTGCCGAGTTAATCTTATCTTATACTTCACCGCGAAGTAAGCAGCTATTTTTTCGAATACCTTTGCAGAAAAATGAATTACCTACACCTGTTGTATTAGGAAAAAATCACATAGCAAAAAGCTTATTCAGTCCGTAAAACTCGAACTGGATGAAGAAACTAATGATAAGCTAGATCCGACCGTTACAGCTTTATTACAAGAGCGTAGCTAACTATTATGAGACTGGCTACTTTGAGATTCAACCCGATTTTTTTTGTAACTGCGCTCTTACAAGATCTTCAAACTTATTTCTGATTATTCCGAAAGTCCGATTTATTTGATTACGTGCGTTTCCATCACGCAGATGTATCCTGCGTCACGTTACTCTATATGTTCGCGATTCGTGGTGATGATAAGCGCAACCGTCTTTAATTATGTAAATTGAAGAGGCGTAACTAATTGTCGAAAATTGAAAAATCCATTAGGTAATTACCATTGTTTGCGGTGTGTGATGATTTATAGTTCTTTTATTATTACGGCTGAAAGAAGGTCAAAAATAAATGTATCTTCCTCGTTTTGACGATTTTTCCATGATGCCAAATGGAAACGTATCTGTGACAAAGTCTGTATTGCTTGATCGTTCTTGATCGTCGCGCATGATACGTGGGGTAATTATATCGGTACGCAAGTCAGCGAGTGTGCGTCGATGATGTAAAATTTTATTTAAAAAAAGTCATTGATAGCTTTGTTTTTCCATCGCTATTTTTCCTGTTGTTTGGCCGAGAAAAAGAACGAGAGAGGGAAAGAGTATTTTTCTCTCGTTTGCTATCCAATTTTGAATTGTCACCATTGGTATTGCCAAGTGTTTGACCCGAAAAGGCATATAATCAGCACTGACGCGAAAATATTAAAATTCTTCTAAATGACAATTAATTTGCATGAACGTTTAATTAGCGTGCTCAACGACAGCTGACAAGCGAATGTTTCAGATTTTACGTACGGGAAAAACAAGAGAATTAAAAGAAAAAAGCACGCACCTGGTCTCTCTGCAACTCTTTTTAACGAAACATCAACGCAGACAATCAATTTGTTCGTCTGCTAGTATAAACGCCTATATCCCAATAAGTTTTTCGGGCAGCGCACTCTATCAGCGGGCCCGTCGCCCGCGTCGCTCGACGCAAACACACGCCTACACGCGAGCCGCGTTTGACGAGTGTCAATCAGTCAAGTCGCCGGCCACTCTCTCGTAAATATTTTCTTCTCAATTCTTCTGCGCGGCGTAACCTTCGCTCGCTTTTAAAGCCGAGGCTACGCGCGTAGTCGCGGCTTTTCGTTGATATGACTCGTCTACAAAACACAAGCTCGCAACCGTGCTGCCCGGCTTATGCGGACCGTTACTACTGCAAACCGACTCGTCAAGTTCGTTGCGAATTTCTTTACTTTCCGAATTTCGCGTGACATTGGTCAACTCAACCTAACCCATTGGTGTGTAAAAGTACTGAACGCGCCGTCTTAAAATATATGAATGAAAATAAGTATATGTGGTAAGATGTTCACCGTAAACAAACATTACGCAACGAATGGCCGAATTTTCAAAACCATCAGTTTGTTAGCTACAACAGACGTATGCATGTGAATCGCGGCGTCGTGAAAAAAAAAAAGATTGAAGCTCTGTTATCAACGACCACACCTTAAGTTTGCTATTCAAAAATCCGCACGCCACGAGTTCCCAGTAAAGGAACCTTAGATGGGAGTCGCGAGAAAGCAAAAACTTGGGCAGAAAATGGCGAGACACAAGTAACGGACGATTAATTCAGACGAGACCCACGAGGTGAGCGGTCAAAGGTCAATAAGGGACTCATACGGTCAAGACAGACACAGTCGGCGCGACCGAATAGCAGTTAGCGTGACAATAATTCCAGAGAGCCATGCCGAAGAGTCCGACGAGCAGACACGAAACGAGATGCTCGTGCGTTCAATTGCGATCGCATTCCACTACAGTTAATTGCAATTCATTGTCGCTCATTGTCAATTCTTCATCGGTAACAAGCTCATCGTCTGCCCAAAAGAGAGAAGTTCGGCACGAGTGTGGCGCAATCGCGCTCAATCGCGAAACTTCCAAACGGGCGCTTGTTAAAAGCTCAGACTCCTATAGGAAAATTCCGAGTCGGGCAGCACCTAACAGCCGAAGCAAGTGAGTGAGCGGTATCGATCGGTTAATGAGCGCTTAAGCATGCAGCCGTAGCCGTCTGCGTAAGTCGTACACACTTACACACTTACACTTACGCAGCGCGTTCGTTTTTTTTTCGTCTGTTGGCCGCTGCGGGGAAATTCCCTGTTATTGTAGCCGCGTATATTGCTAATTAATTCGAATAGGTGCGATGGCCGAAAGGAAAATCACGACGTTTTCTTCTCAGCCGAGTCTCAGGTATAATTGATTTCACATCCGTCATGGCTACTGTAAGTTGTTTTGGCGCGGATCTTGCAACTTTCATACTGCTGTTGGCTGCAGTTTGAAATATAGGTTTCTGATTTATCTGGTTATAGACGCTAGCAACAACGCTTCAGACGCATAGTTATTATTGATTACGGATCGACGGCCCGCTTTAAATAATGAACTCGCCGAGTGTAGATGGTACGGCGGATTGCTTTCTTGTTGATCGGTCTAGCTTCTCTCGTGCCCTGAAAAATAAGTGTTCTATTTGGTCGATGTGACGCCGGCATCCAGACGACTCTGGTAAATAATCTGAATTTCATGAATCGACCGACTTGCACGAGCCATCGAGCTTATTGAACTTAATTGAATGTGCAAATGGACTTGCGTCGAGCACAAAAATAAAGAAAAACACTTTTCGAGCTGTCTAGCTGCCCGAGCTCTTTAGCGCACGAAGAGATTTGCAGGAACCGCGGTAAACAAAACAATTACGAAGATGCTGTTTGCCGGCGAACACTTCTCACGCCAAAGCTCTTCTCGGCCACGCTGAACAACATCATTAAGAAGATAAAAACCGACAAATCATGCTCCGTTTTTGACGTTCGGGTATTGGAGACCAATTGAAATTTAAAGTGTCGAGCGCAGCGATATAACGGCACGCGCAGCGGCGGTCGACACCACGACGAAAACAAATAGTCAAAAGTAAGATAAGTAAGGAAACGTGGGCAAACTGCAAATGAAGCAGGGGGTACAGAACGATCCAACGTGAAGCGCGCGTCAACGGTGTCGTAGCCGATTAATCCAATTGCAGTTGAGTTCGCAAAAAATGTGGCCATTTCTCGAGGTGCAGCAGCATCCTCGTTGCCCCCTTGTCGTATGCAAATTTGCGCCACGGAAGCCGCGTGCGAGTGAAAGTCTCGCGTGTGCGCGCAGGCGAAAGAAAGAGCGAGAAAGAGAGAGAAATTGGAGAAGAGCTCTCGGTGACTTTATCTGCTCCCGTGGCGGCGGCGGCGCCGCCGCGAGTTGAGGCTTCGGGCGCGCGTCCGTGGTGGGGGCGTGGATAAGAGCACGCGCCAAGCGATTTTATTGCAACGATGCCGACGCGCCGGCCACAGTCGACAGCCAGAGAGTTTCGAGTTCAGTGTCCGTGTAGACGTGCTGCCAGTAACAACCGTATCACGCACAGCGCTGCCGACTTTTTTTCCTTTTCATTTGAACGTTCGCATGGATCTTCTGCTCCGAGCACCGCGAGTCTTTCTTCCAGTGATTGTTATGCCTGAGTTTTGTGCGTGCTTCTCCAAGTTTTGAGCCGTTCTACAGTTGTGCGAAAAATATTCAAAATACTTGGTGCTTTTTTGGGGTTTCGTGTTTGAGACCGACACCGATGTGCTGCTGTGCGCTTAAAGACTGTTAAAAGGTAATTTGAAGTTGGTCGATCGGCTGCTGGCGCTTTTTTTGTTAATCTTTGGAGCTTGCAATTTGTAATTTTACACTGATCGATAATGCTCGAGAGTTTTGCCAGCGGAGAGCTTTCTAAGTAGTAAAAGTGTCAACTCATGCGAAGCCTTTTGGCTTAGAAAGTTAATAATATCGGATGTAATTTTTTCCTTGGATTATCGTAATCTTACGATTAATCCAAAATTGAAACTCCAAAAAATTTATACGTTGATGTGACGAGTTACTTTCAAGATTGATGATATTCTCTGGGTGAACGACCCAACTGAATATGATTTAGTGGAAGTCTTAAAAAATATATTTTAACGTATATTATTGCTCGGAAAAGTAGCGTTTAAAATTAGGTACGAATAACCGAATTTTGGCGCTTTTGTAGTCAAACTTATTTATAATTTCTCTGTCTAGCTAACTTTTTCTTGTTGAATCCTGTGTATGCATTTTTCGTTGAATGACTATTCAGTTTCGATACATTATGCCACCCGCAAAATGCCAAAAAAAAGTTTTTTGACACAAACATGGGAAAATTATGCGAACGTGTGTGTAACACGTAACCAGCGTTGATAAGTTATTTATTTCGAAATTATTCTTCACATTTACAAACGCTAACTAAGAGTGCGATAAATATTTAGCGAAGTTGTCAAGTTACAAGCTACTCACTCCAGCTATTCAATTATATCATATATATGAAGTTACTTAGCAGGAAAGTAGTAACTCGAGGGAACCGTTATCGTATTCTTTTCTTCCCAAAATTGATGAGAAAAAATCGCTCGCTCTATTTCGATTATTATCATTCACTTGCTCAAACAATAATGCGATTCTCAAGTGCACACTCAGCCAACGTGAATCGAAAATGTGTGCAGCATCTGCAATAGGCATTAACAGTCGAGTTGCATACTATCCAGTGAAATAGTCAATTTGCAACATGTCAACATATAAACATGTTCGCCTTGTCAATGAACTTGATGCAGATATACGAGCGACTATATCTCACTTCTCCCCCGTCGAGCTTTGGAAAATCACATTTAATTCTGGTGATTCTTACTCAATTATCTTCTCGGTTAAAATAACTAAACATTTTATTAATTTTACGAAATAAATGTGTTAAGTGACTCTTAAAAAACATGTCTCACAGTTATCTCAGGTCCAGAGATCAAAGGACATTTCACCTAGAACGCTCGAGAAAACGCAGACCTCCATTGCGTGCAAACTGTCGATGCACTTTAAAATTTGCACACTTACAATCCAACGAAAATGAGCTCGTTATGCGATAGACCAAATAATTAGCGACCACGACCTTCCCGAGCTCTTTCTCTAGCTTTTCCGCCAGACGCGCAAATCCTTGGGGCGCGAGAGCCAAAGTCGCGACATAATTAGCTGACGGGATCTCGCCGCACGTTTGATCAGCGGCGTGCACGCGCTGGGGATTCGAGGTGGAACAATTCAAAGCAGTTACGTTCAGGTTCTGGACATAAGGCCATTCGCAGACCTGCTATTGATACGTTCGACGAGCGATGAAGAATAATTGTTTTACTTTCCGTTTTTTTTTTCTTTTTTTTTTTTTTTCGCTCGAAGCCACGCGCGTTTGCGCAAGCAAGAGATGCTCGCCCGCGAAAAACAGGAACTCTCTCGCGGGCGTCGATTCGTGACAGCGAGGAGAATTTTCGCGTAAAATTTTTAAATACGTCGTCGCGGCGAGCTCCGCTTGACATTATTTTTAGATGTGTCGGTCAGCTCATCATCGTATATTTACCGAAAACAAATCGCGCGTTTCGACGACTGGACGACGCGGCACGGACGAAGAAAACACAACGTCGCCGCGCGCGTAAGCATTTGCGTGTATTTGAATAAACTCTTGTTTTTCCTCCGTGCGTGCTAGTTACATTATTAAGCTGTGGGCTAAACGTAGTCGGTAATGAAGCACTTTGAATATATATCGTTGACGGTACGCGGCGATCGCTCGTCAATCAAATTTTGCTCGCACCGCTCGAAATTGAGAAACAAAACACCCGCAGAGTCATCGCTTCCGTAAAATGATAATAGTAGTGTAATAAAACTTATCAGCTCGAGTAGAGCTTTGGACAATGAGCAAGCGCGACGCGCGGGCAGACATCGCGCGTGTCATCTACGCGGATCGTCACGCCGCAGTACAGGGCAGCGTCAGCTGTCACTCAGAGCTCCGCGTTTCGGTCTGCAGAGATGCCTGATTACGATTGTCACCTCTGGCTAATGGCGTCATCGGTCAAATCCATAATTGTGCTGAAAATTCCTGAAAACGTGCGTTTGACAGCGATTCGCAATCGACGGCATCAGGGAAAATCGAGCCGATGCCCTCGCTCTCGAACCTTTGTTCTCGAAACGGAGAAAAGAAATCGAATGTTCGCGATGAAAATGGTGGCGCGCGAGAAGGACGAAAGAGACGATATTCCGCGCGCACGCGCCAAACGGTCGCGGATGCGCGAAAGTGAAAAAAAAAACAAGGAAAAAAGAAAGGAAGAAAAATTTCAGGCCTTGACACGAGCTGTGTCATTGTTGAAAAATCTGACATGAGGCTTTTTTTACGTGCAGCTCGACGAAATGCGAATCGCATCGCTGCCGGTGGCGGTGTCTAACTTCTTCATCGGGCTGCACAGTCGAATAACGATCGCTATTTTCTTTTTTCTTTTCCTGTTGTGTGCGGCGCGTAATTCTAACAGTTCGCTGGGCTTGCATAATAACGTTACACGATCTGGCTGAATAGGATTTATGCTTTCTATGGACGTTGGCGCGTGGCACGATCCCGATAAATATCACATCGCGATTCGGCTGGCCGCGATCCAGCGAGCCAGCGGCTCGCGCTGGCTCGCGAGAGCAGTGCAGAGGGCGAAATGCACGCCTGACCTTTTGATACTCGCAAACACGTCGCTTAGGTGCATAATACTAAAAGCGCGCGCTCGACCGTTCGTGCCGCCGTAAAAGCTCGCATACTTCGTCGCGCGCTGTCCCTCTTTCTTCGCCGGAGAAAGAGAGAGCGTGTGCGTGTGTGTGTACATGAGCGAGAGAGAGGCAGAGCTCTTCCGCCCGATAAAACTGTCGCGCGTACGCGCAGACACGCAAATTTAATAATACGCGTGAGTAAGAAAGCTTTCCACCGGAGAGAGAAAGAGAGAGAGAGAGAGAACGCGCGTTCACGTGCACCTTGATATCGATACACCGTCGATGGCTTTCTCGCGCGCGCATCCTTGCCCCCGTTTAGCTTCTCCTCTCTCTCTCTCTCTCTCTCTCTCTCACACACACACACACACACGCGCGTGCACACACCCCTTTCTTCGCTGCCCTCCCGCGCGTGCGTTCGTAATTTTAGGCTTGGCTGCGGCAAGGTCGCGTAACTCTTCTTCTATCTGGAAATAAATCGCGACAGGCTGACGGAGATTGGGCCCTGGGATTGACACGTTGCTCGAGCTTGCAAACTTTTCCCGAGCCCCGAACTCGCACCCCGGCCGTTCGCTATATCGCGCGAAGAAAGGAGGCGTGACTCAACCGCCGAGCATGCGATCCCGATATGCCGCGGAGATAAACAGATTTGTTCGTACTGCCCCGCGCCAGTCGATTAATCTTTGGGCGTTTATTTGAATTCCGTAACCGAATCACATGACGCGATATGCGTGTAGGCGGCGAGCATGTTTGCGCAGTGTAACGCGCATCGATAACTGTCCGTTTATTCCACGCTCGGTCGCGAGCGCCCGACTCTCACGGAAATACGCGTTTTCGCTAACTAATAATCGGCGATCAGGCCATCGTTGCGCCCAATGAAAATTCAATCGGAGCGACTTTCCAAGAAAAATTAACGGCCGTTACCGAGGAAATACAACTTTCTAAAACTCGAGCGCCCATAATTGCATTTATTGTTTTCGCTCGCCACTGCGCTCTTCGCCAAACTGTCGATTAAGTTTCAGCAGACCTGCGAGTTAAAATTTACTTTCGACCGTAAGCTTCTCATTGATAATTGTCTTTGTTCCATTGCATATACGGTCGACATAAGAAATCGCCCCGGAAAAATATAACTAATGACTTGTACCGGGGGCAAAAACAAGATTCATCTCTCGATTCGCTGCATCAATTTCAAAGTCCGCTTGATTCTCCGAAGTGCTTAATAGCATATTTTTTTCATTGCATTCTTCGACCACCCACGTTCGGTTTAGCTATTGAATAACGCAACAATTCGCACTGCCGGAAAAAAAATGTATAAGCAATCGCGATTTTTTTCCTTTCCAACGTTGCCGTTTTAGTTGCATCTATCGCGAGTACAGTTGTCCTACCAAACTCCACGGGCGTCTTATAAATTGACGCGTAGCTGCACCTTCGCCCATAAAATATACACACACCTGCGTGGTGGCATCTTTCGTGCGATCGCGCTGTTGAGCAACACGAGCAGTATGTGCCCATTACAACACACATACTGCTTGCCGCACGATCAGAGGCACGCGATTATTGTTTGAAATATCTGCGCAGAAAAATGTAGGTCTCGCAAACTTGAACTAGTTATGCGGCGGAGAGGAGAAAAACAAATCGCTTTTCTGACTATAATAACAATAATAATAAAGAGCCCGCATCTTGTGCGAGACGCGGGCCAATCTTATAGCGAATGACCGAAATGAAAAAAATGCACGCTCATCAATTTATCATCCCAAGTTAGACGAAGGGAAAGTAACGTCCACGAAGGTGTCAAAATAATAATGACGCCCATATAGAGATGCTGTTTTTCCGACCTACGCACACCGCTGACCGCCAGCGGCAGCGAGCACGGTAGCGCAGGCTATAATTGGATTGCACTTCTTGCGTGCACACCTCCGATTTTCCCCGGAGGCTCGCGTCGCGTCGCGCTGTCTGATGAGAAGCTCGCCGCTGCGGAGCTTGACCTTATCTTTCTCTCTCTCTCTCTCTCTCTCTCTCTCTAGCTACGCGTAGGCGCTGCTCTCGTTTTCCGAAGCGAAGCCTTGTTTATTGCTTTTCAAACGCGTCTCGATAAAAATTATTAAGCTTCTCATCTCTATCCCTCACTCTCTCTCTCTCTCTCTCTCTCTCTCTCTCTGCCGAAGGTATCTATTGTGTCGTTAAATTATCGCGATGGCCATCAAAATATTTTTCCTCGAGATAAAAGCGCGAGTAAGAATTGTCCCCGGCGGACACTTACGAAACAGAAGCCGTTGCGTAAGTTTTGGCATTCTTCGCTGCTTAATGAGGCATTGAACATAGAAAAAGACAAGAATGAACTTTCAAGATCGTAGGTATGCAAACTCGTGTAAATGCAACACATGATGCTTTCGCGCGCGAGGCAGAGTAGGTTATCAATGTCAGTTTTTTTAGCATTTCAAAATCAACAATAGCAAACTATCTCATTGTTTGCTCGCCTTGGAAATGTACATGGCATTCGTATGTATACCACTTTGCAGTTTGCCGTGTGATACAAAACCGTTCGCTCTCGTTTGATTGAACCGACCGAAGTAATCACACTTTATTATCACTATTATCGACCATTGAAATCTAACCGTGGCGAAGTTGCAGCCTTCGATCTCAATTGTTTGCCACTCGAACGAAATCTCTCATCGTTCTTCTTCTTCTTTTACTTTTGTCGCCGTACAATTCTCTCATTCTTGAGTGTTATCTCGCGAGCGCGTGCAGGTATTCCATATCGATAAGCGACTATACTGTTACAAGCACCAGTATAAATCGTCGTGCGCGAATGAGTATCGGCATCAGATCGTCGGCTTGGTTTCGAACAAGACATGTGTAATTTACCTTGACGCTCCATTACAAGTGAGTAAACACGTCGATTGTAAGTTGCGCCTTGAACTTTGCTCGGCTAAACAATGCACGCAATTGTACAATGCGTTTTCATTTTTTCACTTTTCATTTTTTAGCTTTCATTTCTTTCCAAATCATTAGCTTTTATTTGGCGAGTAACATAAAAGTATTCCGGGCAGTCGTCTTGTTCTCTCGTGGACCCTGAATCGGCTGAAAATACATATTCCTTGCCGACATCGGCTCGATCCAAAGTCACGTTTCGTCAGATACGTCAATGAGAATCGATATAGTCACGTTTTCCCCTGAGAATGTAAAAAAGGTGACGTGCTCATGCTAAGCGTCTTATTTGTGTTTTTTGTTGCAGGAGCGTGCAATAATTTATGAATGGATGGCGGTTCGACGGAGAACGCGGGAGATGGATCGTCTAAGGATATGGGAGGTGTGGAAAGATGGGAGACCGATACAGCAATCGCAGCATGGTCGCTGTTGCTGTTTGGCTCGGTGTTGCTTAACGCCACCCTCCTTATCGCCTTTATGCGTCGACCAGGCTTGCGAACCATCTCCAACAGGTTGGTAAAGAAGCAAACGCCGACCTGATTTCTCTCGATTCGGCAGGAATGCCATTGATCGCGAACTTATTATAAAGCCGAGCTGCCCTTGTCCGTTGAAAATACGATTCTTTGGGCTTGCGTAACCGGCTCGCGCTAGCCGCCATCGAGGATATCCGTTAATACGCGCATACGTCCACTAACGGTTTCACCAGGAAGCGCGATGTAGCTTTTGTGTTTCTCTCGCGCTCACTCGGGACGAAACGATATATAAAATGATTTTACGAGCAAAACGTGAAAGCTGCTGCGCGCCTGCGTGAAGGGTTATAAAGAAAGAAGGCCACGCGCTGAATTATTATCGTTATATAAGTGGAAAGAAAGATATTTCGCGCGCGCGTGCGTGCGTGATTTTTAATTTCAACTGCGGAAAGATTTCAATGCTCGCTAATTTCGAAACGATTCTCACGTGTGACTTTCGATATTTTTTTTTCTTTCTTTTTCTGGCGTTTCTTGCGTTCTCGTGAATTTCACACGGGTTTCCAGGTTAAAGTTGTGTTTACGTATTTTTTCATTTCTGTCATTCGCATAATGGCTTGGGTTCCTTAAATAAAGTTGCCATTGCCTTTTGTTTTGTCAGTTTACATTGGCAGACGCGTAACAAAGTATTTCAGGTCGTAATTTTTTGTTGCTATAACGCGATAATTACGTAGCCGTGAACGGTGCACATTGGACATTTTGACACTGCGGAGCTCGCTAACTTCTTTTGCTTTTGCGTTTCGAACCGCTCGCTCGACTCCGAATGGCACCTGTTCAGGCCAAGTTTTTTACTAGCGCTTCGTTTTTTGCCAGTGTTTAGGAATACACGAATTAATTCACTGTAGTACATTTTTTAAATTTGTTCTTCGGAAACGACAGTCTAATCACCATAGCGCTTCTCTCTGCACCTCGTGTGTTCAGCTGTAACCAAACCTACTTTATTTCTAAATCAAATTAACAATCAAAGTCGAGTATAAAAGTATCAAGGTGATTATTTATTCAACTGGTTTTTTATTCATGTCGCCTTCCCGAGGCTCACATTATTTCTCTCTCAATTAAGTGTATTATAATGAAAAAAAGAGGCTGTCAATAATTAAGTCCGCTTTAAAGTTTTTTTTCTCCAAGCTCCAATAAACTTTGTATCTGGGCTAGAGGTTACGCTATTATAGCCAGTCATTGATTTTACGATTATTCATATATTAGCTTAAGTTTAAAAATAGTTTTATCTATATAAAAATCCCCGCCATTATAAGTGTGTCATGTCTATAAAGCATTGAAAATTATTTATGAAAGTTGTAATATTTATCATTAAATACGATTGAAATTGCATATTCAAGAGAAATTCTAGAAATGCATTTATTTCAATCCTACTCGTAAATTCTTTTTTTTTTCTTCGCTTGCTTTAATTTAAAGCGCGATGAATTTTTTCTTCTCTCCTTGAGTAAAACTGTAAAGTCAATGGTCATATCAATTACAACGATTGTCGCATTTGAAGCAGATTGAATGTCATTCTCTGCTGAATCTGTACATTATATCAGCATAATCAAGGCATTTTTTTAGCTTGACATTGAATGCAGTAGATCTAATTAAAAGAAACTCGTAGTAATTGCAATGTAAACGTTAAAAAAAGAAGAATCATCGTATTACACGTGAACCACATTATCATTCTATCTGCATATATCTGTAATGAATTCTATTTTCACGTGCGCTTGGATGTTCTGTTCAAGTGTCGCAAATCTCATGTTTCGTTCGTGAAAAGTAGTCCTGTTTTTGCATCGTCTGCACAGACGTCCGTGGTAGCACATCGGCTGGCAGTCAAATAAGAACGAATAAAAGGAAATGAATTGCCAAAGGGCGGAGATCGCTGATGTGCGCGTTTGCCAGAAGTAGGCCGAGCGAGTTCCAACTTTGGCTGCGCTGCGACAAAAGCACTCGAATCGAGTTTACGATTTGCGCTTCCGCGCGCAACGGCGCATTACATCCCCGGCGCGGCCCATGAAAATAAGGCTCTGGGGCAATAACAGTAGCAGGCAGTGAGCAATTGTCTCACTCTCCCTCCCCTTACTCTCCAAACGTACTCGAATCGTCGTCCCACTGACTTTTTCAACGAGTTCGCTGCTCCTTGGTGCTCACGCGAGTTTGTTGTGTTTGTAAATCGTGGGCATTGATCTTCGTGTTGTGTCGTGCCTTCTCGAAGTATTATTAGTTTGAAAATATTGCCGTAGACACCCGTGATAGAAATAATAATAGAAGCTGGACAAAATACGCGTTTCCGCTCCAGCTCGCGGAGCTTTTTACGCAAGAAGCAGAGGGAGAGAGAGAGAGAGAGAGAAAGTTTGACGGACAGCCATGCGCTAAAGTTAGATACAACCAATAGGCTGCGAAGGCTCCGCTGCTTTTGCGTTCTCGCGGCAAGATAAGACGACGGGAACTATATATGCTCGCTTTCGCTAAAAATACGGTATGTTAGTGTACCTGACCTCGGTCGCTTCTCCGGCACTATACTTTTTTTTCATATCTTGTTTTCTTTTTCTTCCGTTCTTTTTTTTTTTCTTGTTTTTGACAGAGAGAAAAATTTAAGAAAAGATACAATCAACGAAAAAGACTTCCTGCAGATAATACGTGTCGCGCAAAACTAAGGAAACGCGAATAAATACAGTTTGGGCGTTGCACGACCATTATGAGCGAGCTTTAACAAAGTTGTTTTCGCGTTAGTGCGCGTTTTATTTGCCGATGGTCCTTCGAGTGAAAACACATCGCGCACGGCGATGCACTCGCACACTAGCTCAATAAAAAGACGCAAGCGTCATAAGTGGCAATCTAAATATTGAGTCAGACTAAACGGGTCATTCATATTTTCCTTCTCGACGCTGCCTCGTAAGAAACGGCTATGAAAGCTGTGTTCAGTGGCGTGCATTAATTATTTTAACGAGCAACATGTTTTGAAATAAAAAAGGAAAAATCTGTGTTTACCGTCTGAAACGAGGTGCTAACGACGATCCTTGTGTTTCGCAGATTCGTGATGAACCTGATCGCCTCCAACTTGCTGGCGATATTCGTGCTGACGAGTCTGCTGATCACCAACACCTGTCAACTGGACGCCCACACGTGGACTCCGAGTGTCTGCGCCTTATCGGAAGGCGCCACGGCCTTGGTGACCACCTCGTCGATCCTGTCGGTCCTGCTAATCGGAATCGATCAGTACTTGGCAGTAGTGGATCCTCTGCGTTACCGTACTCGTATCGACAAACTCAAGTGCGGCTTACTCATTCTAGCCGTATGGTTGATCGCTTTGACATTCGGATCCTTAGCGAGCTTCAACCCCCAGCCGCGAGGTCTTTGGAAGCTGTGCTCTCCCGGCACCCTCGACGAAACTCAATCGCGAGATTCGACCAACGTAGTGGAATACCAAGACAAGATCCGCGAGCCGATCAACGAGTCGGCCGAGGCAGCCTTTCCAGCCAGTCACGCCGGGGAACCCGACAGCGCCGCGATCAAAGTCAGCTACGGCATGGTGTACGCGCTGTTGTACGCGGTGCTCGGCTACCTCGTGCCGTTCGCCACGATGTGCTGGATCTACGTGAGCATCTACATGGCGGCGCGGCACAACTCGGAGCGCACGAGGCGCACCGGCTCGAGGCCAGTGCTCACCTCGGGCAGCTTCAGCGAGGAGAGCGGACACCGTGGTCCCGACTCGCCGTCGCTCGAGGACGTGCGCCGCATACCCAAAATCTCGTCGTTGTCGTCGATCGACGAGAACAGCGAGGCGACTCCTAGTCAGGCAGAGCCGCCGGTCATCTTCACCGTCGGCAGCCAAGACCACCCAGCCAAAGTTCCTAGCGACCGGCAGCCCGTTGCCGCGGCGGTCGCCGACCATTGCAGCGGCAACGGCGCTGCCAGCGACGAGTCGCGCAAAAACTCGCAGGATCTCACGTACGAGGAGATGATGCTCGGCTGCAAGCATCCCTACGAGTACGAGGACGACGATTTGGTGCGCTCGAGCGACGAGGAGGAAGAGGAGGAGGAGGAGGAGGAGGAGCAGCAGCAGCAGCAGCAGCAGCAGCAGCACCGCGATCATCACGAGTTCGAGCCGCTGTCGTCGGGCGACAGGCCGGCCCAGGGCTCGGTCAGCGTGAACTTCGACCTCGCCGAGAGCGAGCACTCGAGGATGCTCGGCACCCCGGCACAGCCGCCGCCGATCGTCACGATCACGCCGCCGGGCCAGAAGCCAGCCGTGCCACGGGCGCCGAGCAGCAAGACCACTCACAACTACATACACAACCTGAAGCATCGCATCAGCAACGGCTCGCTGTTCAAGTATCGCGAGGAGACGCGGGCCGCTCGCATCAGCGCTCTGGTCATCGTCATGGGCCTGATCTGCTGGACGCCCTACGTGTACGCGCTGCTCTGGAGGAACTTGCAGTCGCAGACGGCTCGATCCGACAAGCTGGACGGCTTGGCGCTCGGGTTCCTCGTGCTCGCCACCTACGTCAGCCCGCTGCTCTTTGGCTACCGCTCGAAGCGGGTCAAGCGCGAGCTGCGCAAATTCTTCTGCTTCAAGCGCGAGCTTTCCTACAAAAACAATCGCAGCTTGATGGCCAAGAAGGTGCTGCGCCGGCGACACAGCGGAGTCACGATACTCGGACAGTTAGCCGGCGACGCAGGGATCGAGCACTCGAGGTACAACATCTTCAACTGCGTCTACGGCAAGAGCAGGTGGCCCAAAGAGAAGGTGCAGTTCGTACAAGTGCCCGAGACTGCATTGGCTGTTGAGACGTGTCGAAGTAGTTTCAGCAGCGGCGCGAGCACGCAGATCTCCAGCACCTCCACCGACGAGTGCTGACGAGTACTGCTGCTCACCTAGACTCAAGCGCGACGGCGATCTCTAGTTTTTTGCCTGTGTGCGCGTGCGAGCGACTCTCGTTGTTCGGATCCTTGAATAATGTATGCTTTCTTTCTTCCTCCCGGTGTCCGAGAGAGCATCAAATTGGAAAATTATGTAAACTAACGGAGATAATGCGATCGACGCTCCGACCAGTTGGTCGTCTATCTTGGCGTACGTGACGAAAAGTGTAACCAATACCGCGAGCGAGAAATACTTCTGTATCGAGAGAGCGTCGCCTCTGCCTCGCGCGAAAACTCGAGTGAAAATGGTTTCCTTGTTAAACCAGCTGTCGCATTATTAAAGTGAATCACGCGCCCGATTTGCGCGTTGCATTTAGAAAGAGAGGCTGAAAGTCAACCGTTGAATGCGTGCGTGTGTGACTGAGTGGCGTGACGCTCTTTCCTTCTCTTCGTCGAGCGCAAAGAGAAACGAAGAGAGCAGCGCGCGTGAATGAACAGAAAAAGATCGTTTCTGCGTAATAACGACATCTTGCGCGTTGTCTCTATTGTAATCCGCCAAGAGAGAGAGAGAGAGAGAGAGAGAGAGAGAGAGAGAGAGAGAGAAAGAGAGAAATTTGGCAAACTGACTCGAAATTGGCGGTACATTATTTAGGCAAAATAAAGATGAAACTTCTCTCTTGGTGTGTATCGTGTGTGCGTGTTCGTCTTCACACTAGTATTAGACATCGTCTCGAGAAATTTTGAGATGGATTCCATGACAGTTCCCATGCTCGATATTCTGATTATTTATTTTGATGTATAATATTTGTTCGCTTTCAAATCGAAACGAGTTTACGACCCATTGGTATGTAATTTCAGCGACGGATAATGTTCTTGATTTTTAGTATTCTTAGCTATAAGTTGCTGATGAATGGTTAGACTTTTTGTACATACTGTGTGAGTGTGTGTATATGTGTGCGGGTGTGTGACGTAAAAATTTTGGGGAAGCAAGCTATATTGGGTGACTAAATGTGCGGTTTACATTCTGTAGGAAATCGTTTTCCTTTTAAAAACGTTTCAGATTTTATCGTATGATAAATTACTTAAAATGGACTGGCAAATGATCGCGTGCTAGTCACTCGTTATCTTACAAGAATAAAACCACGAGTCGAGTACTTAAATTAGATAACGCGTTCAATATACTTGGCAAATCCTAATTTATTTTAGAGCATATTTCATAAAAAATCACTTTGGTAATGTCGTTCTCTTCCATTGTAAATACCATTTTTAACCTCTATGTATTTTTTCAAAAAATCATTGTGTAACCTTTCTATATGACTCGAATCTGTCTTAGTTTTTAAGCATGAGCTTACTTCCCTCTACAATCGACTGTACGATCGTAAATCTATGTTAGACAACCGTTGAAACTTTGGCATGAACTTCCGTTTTTGTACACTTACGTGTGAGAACTCGATTATTGAATACATTATCAAGCGAACAAAGAGACATGAATCACAGAATAAAATAAAACTTGTAACAGGTCTTAGAGTTGCATGAACACTTTAAAAGTCACAGACGAACGTCAGCAGTAAAAATGCCAAAGTAAACGTTGGTTTCAACCTAACGACGCAGTAAATGAACTTTAAAAATAAATTTAAAAGAATCATGTTAAAATATAGATTGATGAAATAAGTAGCCGAATGATATGTCAAGCAGGGATAAAATAATAGACTTGAAACACTTTAGAGTTTGAAAGCATTAAGCTTTCAACTATTGAAAATAGCAAAAAAAAATTGTAAATAATAGAATAAATATATCTAAGTGATTAGATGAAAGCAAAGCTACGCGAAAGTGAACTTTATTATTGACACATGGACAAGCATTTTGCGCATTTTTGCCTTAGAATTAATGGATGTATGTTTAAGTCGATGAGTGTATAGCTTGTTGTCGAACAAATCGACAACGCGAAAAGTTTCATTCTCCTTATAATATGTTCGTCCTCTCTGTCGTCGGCGTTATTTGTAGATATTTTTTTATGCTTACGTCCTTAAGTAATTTTGTATAAGATATCAAACTTCTCATTTCTTCTAGACTGTATTTTTTTGTACATTAGCTCAGTCATCATTATTTATATTTAAGGAACTGTACGTACGGTCGCTGGACGCGGGCATGGGCAATAGTTGGTTTGCGTCCAACTGAATGCACTTTTCGAAGAAACGAAGAAAAAGCGCTTCGAGCTTCCGAGCTTCGAGTTAAAAAAAGTGCCAGAAATTTTTCCGGCCGATGATGACAGAGAACGAAAAAAGCAATAAGCCGTTTCAAAATTGTGCTCAGCTTCACACTTAAACAATTCAATGTTGATGCTAAAAAGCCAAAAAACCTAAAAATACCTGTTCATCAGGTGGAAGCAGAAAGTTTCTTTGGAAATGTTTACGGAAGCGAGAAGAGCGATTTGTAAATATATTGTAAACGACAAGATGCGCATGCTAAAAAAGGAGCGTCGCGACTTTACGGACAGTCTCTTACGAACTTGTGATATATCTTTACACGTCAGCCAATTATGAATAACGAGTCAGCCTTAATTTGTATTAATTAAGAAAGTCCTTAACTTACACGAGACTTAATTAATAAATTATATCTTCCGACAAATTAAAATCAGTCTTCTCTTTTTGAACAAGAGCATACTACAATGTACCCATCCTTCGGACTTTTTTCCCTGGAATTTCCTAATTGCGAAATACGATCGAGTTTAGATCAAGGCGACGCATACATTTATTCAACGTTTAGCACGCATAACGTTTACTTTAATCGACGATAAGATTGGAAACTTGACAAAGACAAAATCAAAATATATCAGTAAAACGAATAGAGGGTTAAAGGAAAACCCCGATTCAAGCTCTGATTCACAGTCAGCTGAGCAATATTTACGAGGCGTAACATTCAGCAGATTCACGCAAGTCCTATCACATTCCGCAAACAGCGTATACACTATTCCGAGCAATTTGGCATGTCCATACGGCCGAAGTAATCGCAGACAGCCGCGCTCAGGGAGAAATTGATCGTCTTATACATTTCATAAATGAGGGTGGAAAAGCGGTATAGTCGCATGAAGCTTCTTGGAGCGCCGCCAAAACTCACTCGAAAGAAAGAGCTTTGGCATGAGTATGAGGCAAAACGCACCGCCGCGCGAAGCCTCCTGGGAGACTCTTTGGCGACCGTCCAAAAAAGCGTGAAAGATGCTTCTCTGGCCCCGGCTTGCTTCCATGACAGCGCGTGCGACTGCATTTTTAAGTAGGTCTTCTTTTACTATCCGCAGCTGAGGATGATTGATTGTTCTTCTGGAGCTTCTTTGCGCGATCGATCAGTGAAAGTTGAATCTACGTTGCAAATTATAATTTTAACGACTTGAGCAAGCAGCACTGCAATATAGTACGCAAAATCTACACTGACAGATGAGAAGTCAAATAGTAAGAGAAAAGTCGATTGAAAAAAATTTGTGTTAGCGATAGTCAATCCAGTGATGCAACAACTCTCTAATAAAAAACAATCGTGTATTTAGTTTGTTATACCGAATGCTCGGCTGTTTGCACTGTCTAGACATGATAAGTTACTGTTAAGAAATCAACTCACTCATGCACAAACATTTCTTATTGATGCAAGTCAACAAAAGAAACGAAGTAAAGAGAAATTGTTTGTAAAATTCAGTTACATAATCGAGAGATCTACGTATGGTATGCATTTATTATTGTACTAGCTAAATATAGTATAAGTGTTTGGTTCTTATATAAAAATATTCAACATTATTACCCAACATAAAAAGTATTTACAATCAATATTTATTAAGATATTATAAACTTACACTCATTTAAGATATGTACAGAGAAAATCAACCGTTTTGTTATAGCAATATTTTTATTTCAGTTCAATTCGTATATTATCAAATTTTCTAATTTTTCATCATTTCTAAAGTGTTTTTCTCTTGAACTTATAATTACAGTTTTTCAAAGATAAAACTTACAACTTACGAAATATAATGTACAAAAAATATTGATCTTTATGATTAACCAGAAAAAATAGTTTTCCTGTTATAAAATAAAAGTAAATGAAATAGAATAGACATATACGGCTAGCTACTAATGATCTTTTCGTCAGAACATTAACTTAGTACTACTATTTAAATTTATTTTCTAAATATGATAGTATATGCAACATGTATTAATTCAAATGAATTTTCAATTACCGAATTTCAATAGTTTAAGACAATTGTAATGATAAAATTTTAAGAACATAAAACTTTTCAATCACTAAATGATAATACTGCAAATAACTTCCACGTTCTATATTTTTCAAGACATTAAAAACTCAAAGCATCTTTTAATTCAAAATTGGTTTTTCAAAACATTTCAAATCATATTCTCCTCAGTATCGTCATGTCTATAAAAATTGAAGAATTACATTATCCAATATTTTTGAAATTTTTTTACTTTCTATTTTTATATGCAACAAATATTTGAAAAATCTGAAATTTAGTTGGTGTATTGTAAACCAAAATTTAATAAAAAAATATAATGTTTTATAATACAATCAAAATTAATTTACCAAACGTTATCACTTACGGATCTATTACAAAAATTTAGCGTTGCACCGAATAGATTTCTCAGAAAGTTTAACTTTACGGAAAAATGTATGGTACAAGTATTTCTTAACTCGAAAAACTACAAATTTAAAAAAAATGTGTACACTTAAAAATAACTATTCATCACAGTTCTCATCGAGTAAGTTACCCCTACAGATATAATCTTGCTCGTAAAAAAATAAATATTACCAAATCCAATCTTGCAAATGTCACATCACACTTATCTTTCACAAAGTATAATTTTTATCTTAATTCTAAATTTGAAATTATTTGATAAAAAACTTTTAATAGGCTTCGAATCTTATTCTGTTTTCGAATTGTTTTTAGTTTGCAAACTGATTGAACACGCGTAATTACAAGTGAGAATTGTCGTAGCTAAGAGACGTTCTAGCAGGTAATCTCGGTAGCTCAAGCGTCGATGTTTTACCTTCGTCGTCGATGTAATTTCTATTGTCATGCCCCTCCACATTTTTAGCGGTATCAGCTTGCTTCGCCGGACCACCAGGCATTAGAAACATTGTCATTAGGAACATAATCGAGCCTGAACATAAGCATTTAAACGTAATTAAAAGATCCTTATCTCACATTTGTACATTAATAAAAGAGAGGTAATCATGATTTTTCCTCGTAAGTTGAAACTTACTAATGGCATAGAATCCAGCGTAGTAGATGTAGAGAGATTCACGGTAACCTATAGCCTTGCTAGTAGGCTCGACGAGTATAGGCAAATTGCCACCGATGTTGTTCATAACGAAGAGGAAAATACCGACTGTTGTCGATCTCATTGACAGTGGGACGATCTCCACGAGTATGGCGAACACGATGCCGAACCACATTTCCGCTATAACAAGAACGGTTATATGTAATCGTTTGATTTCCAATTTCAGGATTTGAAAATAAAAAAATGCAGCAGCAATTTACTCAGAACGTGAACATTACTTCGCCATATCCACGAGCATACGAAGTGTAAATAATGAGTTTTTTTATTATTTTGATTCTGCATAGTAGATGTATGAATTAATGTAAGAGTTTAACATAAATTATATGTCAAGCTATAATTTTCTGGTGGATAATGACGTGAATAATTGTCGATGTGAAAATTGACATAGCAAAAAAAATATACATAAACTCAAGTCCGTTAAATTTATTTATATCGTTCCTGCTTTCATCGACGATTGCTTCATTGCTTAGGGTAAATTTAAATTTAAATTAGCTCATAAGTCAATTAATATCTCACCGAAAAAGTAAGAGATGCCAAGAGTAATCATAGCGCCCGTGGGCGTAAAGTAGACAGAGCCAAAGGCAAAGGGAGTGGCAATGAGCTGGCTAATGGCAAGAACGGCGACACGTGACCTAATTCCCATCTTCGCAACAAATTTATCACTGACGATACCGCCGACTACGACGCCAATACTGCCGATGACAATGGTTACGGCAAACAACCACCATCCGAGGTCATAATCAGGAAAGTACTCTCGATAGAAGAGATCACAATTGTACGCGAAGCACATACCACCTGTAATCATGTATAACTTTGAAGCGCGTTCAAACTATCGAATTTTCTTGTTGAAATGATTTTACTTACCGCAATGCCGAATACTTGCTGCAAGGCAGAGCATGACGATGCGTGGCTGAAATATTACTGACCACAATTTCTGCTTTTTCCCGTCATGCTTAGTTTCTTCACCGATTGTGGTTCTTTCTGGTTCCTTGAGTGTGAATCCAGTCAGAATGGCGACGATTATACCAATAATACCAGCACCGTAGTAGCACACTCTCCAGCCCTGAATAAGACAAATATAACATACATTTTAATGAACAATAATGATATCTTCAAAATTTATCAATGACTTACCAAATCCCATGCATTTATTTCAGGAACATAACGCCCAACTGGAAAGGCGATACCGTAACCACCATAAATACCCCAATTAAAGATCGACATGACTAGACCACGCTTTTCCTCTGAGAACCAATCTGATAATAGACCGGTAGACAGCGGATTACAACCAGCTTCTCTGAAAGAGTTAAAGCACATCGATCATCAAAAGTCCTGTTTTTATTTATTTATTTATTTATTGTTTTTTTTCAATAAAACAAACTTTTTTCCGGATTCAATCTACAACAACAATAAGCTCGACTACTAATGACAGAAATAAGCCAAATTATTCGTCTCTATAATAACGTGTACAGCGTGAATTCTACCGCCTACCAATACAATGAACAAGTAAAAAATTGTTAATCGTTCTCTTTTTCATCACACATAACATTGTAGCACTTTTGTTACACACAATCGACAAAGACAGGAATACACGTATGAAAAGATAATCACGTGCTTCACCCAAAAAAGCCGCGATATAGCGAAAAATTTACGATCGAGACGGATACTAATAAGCTTTCACTTGTAGACGTTTCTATGTCCTTGAGAAAAATTTGAGCTGAGCTTAAAAAAGTGTGACGTACGCGCGCGCGCGAATGCTAAATATGTCAGTCGTGAACGCAATTGAAACGTAAAAAGGTTGTTACGTTTACGCGTTGTTTTTTACAGCGATCACGCGCTAAAAATCACTTTGAGGGAATCATTCATCATTTTCAAAATTATCTTGGGAACACTGTCTTCTGACAAAGCTTTGCTTTCATCGTTATAACCGGATGCGTTTTGTTTTTAATTTACGCCCATTATTTATTTGCGGATTCTCGAAAAGAACGTCGAACGTCATAATATATTGTTTTGCCGATGTAAATTAATTTTGTATAAAGATTACTCACCCGGCAGCGGCAAGCATTCGAAGAAGGACAAGCTGCCAGTACTCTTTGACGGAGCCCATCAATATAATTGCAATGCTAAATATGAGTGTGCAAATAGCCAGCATTCGGACTCTGTAATAATAGAACATTAGTTATTACCGTAACAGTATTAGTGAAAGCTGTTATTTATACAAATAGCAACATCAATCTTATATTGTGTTTCACACACCAAAAGAATGGATAAAACTTATCTCGACCGCGTAGAAGCAAATACCACCTCGCAATGCACGTCCATTTACAGATTTATTATTAAAAAGAGTAGATCTGGAATTGATTACGTGATCGATAGATATATATAAATGCCTAAAATTTTTATTGCGTTAAATGAAGTAATTAAGCGATTTTCATGCCGTTACACAACATCTTACGAGTAACAAAGTGATTTTTCATTCACAGAATTCTCAGAGTGAAAAATGATTAAATTACGAGGATCATCTAAAAATAAAATTTAGTCATTGTCACGCCACAAAATTTAACGTTTCATCAGCGTCTATTCTTTCTTGCGCTGCTAAAAGGAGATTGCATGCCAATTTATTTTAGTTTCGAGTATTCTTGAATGGAATTCCTTCTTGTAAATTATAATCAAAATGACATGCCGTTTAAAATTAAACTTTTTTTAGCATTATCTATTATTTAAATAGAAAACTTTGAAATCAAAAAGTACTGCTGAGTAATTTAAGTCTCTTTTGAATTATTTATGTCTTCAAGGTTAATTAAACGATGCAAGAAATTAAAAAATTTGTCATTCTCTCAAAAATCCAAGCAGCAATAACTAATTTGTCAAAGCCAATCTCGGAGCCAATCGCTTTATGAAATAAACCGCGCCGATTTTATCAAACTACAGCGGAAATATATAAATAACGTATTGGTTAATAGATACAGTACATTTCCTTCATCGATTGTTTGCGCGCGTTTGAAATTTTCGTTCTCACCTGTTGAATCTATCGGCGACGATACCGAGGATGATGCCGAATATCGTGAATACCGCGATGAAGCTCGGCCCAGCCAATATCTGATAGTCCAGTCCCAAGCCATTATAGTTCCACTCGCAGTAGCGCGTGCCATTTAATTCCAAATCCTGGCAGCTATGGTGACAAGGAAAATCGATTAGAGTACTTACTATTAGAGTTTTCACGTTGACTAAATACTCTTTCGAGGAACTCTGAAGAAAAATTGAAATGCAACAATGTAGACTTTACGAGCTTGATAATCATCCAAAGCAATCCAATGTTCCATGAAACAATACTCGTTTCAATGAGAAAATATGGCTGTAAGCATGATCGAATTCGAAAAGCCGCTGCGAACCCTTGATAAGCATTGAATGCTAAGTGCAAGGACGTGTAGCTTTTACGTAATATCATTGTCAGTAATATAGCTGCCCTTTCTGCACGTCGCTCGTCATCGTTTTTCTGCTGCACGCAAAGACAACACATCTGTCGAGCATCGGTTGCATAATTTTGCCGATTGAATGGTGTGTGGCGCAATCGAAGGCGTAGAGTGTCATTGCGTAATTCGATACGGTTAATTCAACGAACGCTCTGACCAGTCTATTATTACTTATGATCTTTCGAATTTACCGATTGATAATTGACAATTTTTAATTGTGTTTTGCTCTGATCTACGCGCGTAACGTTGCGTTCACGAGACAAAGCAGATATAAAATTCAATGCTTGATGTAATAGAGAGCTTGGACAGCGTCAGACTGCATTTGCGTTCAACGACTTTGCAAATCAATGAAAAATTGAACTTTCTGCAAAATCACCGGAAATAGTATAATCCAAGTTGCAATGAGTACAGAGCTAAATATTGACTAGGCAAATTTCTATGTTCCGAGAACGGCAATACTCACACTTCTTCGGTAGTCGCTGTTTCGCATTGAACCGGCAGGTCAATTAGTTCTAAAGTTGTAGAGTTGAATTGGCACGTTATGTCGCCGTAGTGCAAATCAATTGCTGTTTCTTTGCTGGTAACACCTTCGTGACGGAAACATGTAAGTAAATGAATATTCATCTTGCGTGTTAATATTATTAGAGCAGGCGCTGCAATGAATAAAATATTGAACGTACCTATCAGATAGTGACCCAGTTCTCCAATGACGTATCCCAGGGATACTATAATTAATGCGTAAGGTTTGTAAAACAGTTTTATCTGTTCCCTCCACTTGGACAACATTTTGTAGGCTGAAACGCATGAAAAGTACCATGTAATCATTTAGGTTAGCTGCACCGCATTTAGTCGGTTAACATTATTCGGGAAATCTGTTAATAAGCATACACTGAAAATCAATAGCAACGAGAAATCATACTTCAATTCCAAACAACGTTAGGAAAAACGAAGGTACGGCCACAGAGTGTAGCGGGAGCACGAGGAGGGATCGTGCAAAAGAAAAAAAAATGGAAATACGGGCTATGGAATTGTCTCATTCTCAACATTTATGAGTAATACACGAGAGGCACGTGCAAAGGCGTTTTCCCGCTACGGGACCCAACGATTGGCCACTTTTGCAGCGCGCAGCGTCACGCGTTTGCTTTCAAGGCCAATTGCAGGAAACGCAATCGAATTCTAAACTCGCTCGATCGGCGCATTATGGATTTCCATCTCTCGCACGGTCGCTCCTTACATTAGGAATATTATTGTGCATATCAGCTTAGCGCATTTGCAAGTTCAATTGGATCTTGCTGAATGCACGCTTGAGTGAATATGTAAGCCTCTGATAAGGCGGATCTAATTGGTGTAGTCGTGACGATTGTTGCACACAGAATTGGATTTGGTTTCATTTCTTTTCGGTGGGATTTCAGAGTAACGACAAGTGAAATCGATAGACGCGTTTATTTTTAAGCTACAACTGGCATTTACATGGGAATAGTTTTCCCTAATGAAATTCATTAGCGAGGCTGATTACGCGCATGAAAAGTCTAGCGTGCGCTTATCCTACGATGGTCATTTCTACGGTCAATAAAGAGAACGAAAATAGCCAAGCAAGAACATAATAATCATCGGCAATTAACGCACGCGCGTATCCATCTGAGCGTGCATTCCCGGGGAATGTATTTAATTGCTCGTGGATTCGTCCAACGCATCGCTGGTATAATCTCGTGCGTGCTAAGTTGGTAATGTAGATGCGCACGGCTATCCTTGAGCCAGAATCGGTCAAATGGAACGATATAATTATAATAATAATAATAATAATAAATTGAATAATGAAAAAAGCGCGCAGTGTAACGGCGCGACAGGTCATATACTTAGCATTGTCTTTCCGAGCGACTTAGCCTGGCTTCATATCTCAAGCCAGGCTTTAAGGTAATCAGATGTAAGGAGAACGAGCCCAAGCGCGCGGTTTTTGCTACGACCGCGCGAACGTTTTTTAGCGGTTAACGCGTCAACCCGACCACCTGCCGTCTCTGCTTTGCTCTCTCGTCGTGGCTTGGAAATGACGGAGCGTCTTATTTATCGCGCGACGGCTAATTATTGAATTATATCCATTTATAATCGATTTGTCGAGCGATAATGTCAATCATTACTTGCACTTTTTTTTCAGTCGAGATGCTCGCTGTATCGTTGAAATACAACGTATTAGTCTGCTATCCACAGAAATGCGTCTCGTTATCACTGTTACTTTGAATGTAGCTGGCTAATCAAACAAAATTATTATTTCATGTTCGCTCGCATAAATCATCTAATGCTATTTATGTTCTTCCTTCGAAATTAGAATGGAAAAGGAATTTTATAGCAGTGAATTCTAATTGGAGTTTGTATAGGAGATTATATGCGATACGTCCATAAAAAATACAATGTATCACTTGATATACGACCATTACTTATTGAGAGCGACAATCATTCACTTTGTATTTTGAAAGATGACAGAGCATTATTTACTTTTATAAAAGAAGGCTCGATAATTTTTCGCGATGTAGAGCAGGATGGTGTTAAAAAGTTTAGTTTCCGAAGCTACTTTCCAAGTATTTTTTTCCCAAGCGGCGGCGCGCGGCCTTGATAAAGAATTCAAATAGGGCATACACATCACACACAACGTGGACCTCTTTTAAATAAAGACTAAAACCCAACGCAATTATAAAAAGACGCAGACAATGCTTGCGCAAAAAAAGAAACAGAGAGAGAAAGAGAGAGAGAGATTGAAAAGGATGACTCGTCTATATCATATAAGTATACACACCTGGTGTGTACGCGTGGCTACTTCTGTAAGTTCACGGCCGCCGAATAGAGTAGCGGGAAGGTGAGGGGGCGAGGTCGCGCGCGAGAAGAAGAGCTATGGCGCAGATTCGCAGCACACCGACAGAAAACACGGAGGATCGCTTTCGTCGGGTATAATCGAATAGACATCGAGCTCTTCACCAAGCTGGACCAATTACTCGCGCTTTCAAGGGGATGCTACCGAGAAACGCGCCAGAGATACATTGCTGAAAAATGATCGCGACGCATTTCTAACGATTCCAACGCTGTACTCTGCTTGTTTAGTCAACATGTCTTTTTCCTTTTCTTCTGTTTCACCGCCCTTTTCTTAATGCATTCGCAGATATTGATAACGGCTTTCCTTGAGAGTGTCAGTTAATTTAGTTCGTGGCGCGCGAGGAAAAATGTTCGATAGGAATAAAAAAAATGAAAAGAAGACATTGAGAAGCGGTAAATGAGACCATTAAAAGCAACAATAAAGGCACGCGCCGTTCGAGCGAATGTTGCGCAGTTCGCCGATTATCTAATATCGTGATTCGCCTTTTTTCACACACCAAAAACCACATGCGACTTTGCGACTGATAAGAGCAAAGTGACGATCGATAAAGAACGCTTCGTCTTCGTGCGTCTTCCAAGGAGGAAAAAACGCAGCGAAATTAGTCTTATCAATATTTACAAATATTAAGTGAAACAGCTAGCGCTTTTTTTAGTAGCTTGAAATTGAAGTTGAATGATAACGATGGAAGTGCTAAACACATTGTTAACTTTGTGGATCATGATTCCGACGCGTGACTATGCTATCGTTTCGACAATGGTGAGTGGCGAAGCAATGCAATCGCGAATATCTGACAGAACCAACCAACTTTTACTTCCTATTAGAATATATGTAAGTACACAAAAATAACGTACAAAGTAGATTGTCAGCATATGCTGCTTCTGCATTGTTAACGTACGCGTATGAAAATTGCATATTAAAGAAACACGTTTCAAGCCGCTATCTTTTACGCAATAACTGCTAAAGCGAATATCTAAGCGATCAATTCTATAATTAAGTATGAACGCAAGTTCGTGCAATAGCTTTAATTGATGTCGCGCTTGCAGATGAAAAAGCACGGCCGAACGTATTTAAAAAAATTTAACGGACGATCAAAACCGAGCGAGTTGCGATGCGAAATAATTAAAATCCAAAGCCAGACAGCCAATGGGAGGAAGTACGAGGCACCGATAATCTTAGAATGTTCAATGAAATGACAGTCAGCGCCAAGTCTGCGCGAAGGATTTCGCAAAACGAAGTGCCGCTTCGAAGCGATACAGTGCAACTCGTCCGATCGTGTGTTAACGGCTCGTCGCTTGACCCCGAAAAAGAAAAACGGAAAATCTATGTAACACCTGCATTGCTTCGCAACCTCGTATAGCTTGTCATATGATAACGCCGTTTTTTCCTTTCTCTCTCTCTTCTATTTTTTTTTAATGACTCTCTCATCTAACATCCTGTCCTTAAATTGATTTACTCGCTACTGTCGGCAATAATAGTCGTTGTTTTTCATACTACGACCAATTTTTCCATTGAAAAAAATGAACAATGATCAGAGTAGAACATCCAAACTTGTAAAATAATTAACCCAGTCGTTAAAGTAATAATGACCATCCAACAAAGGTATTCGAGTTTATTACTGAGAAATACATGAAAAATTATGAAATGAAGCAATCGGACGGCAATGGTAGCCTGCAATTGACATAAACATGATGAATATGCATAAAACAAATGAGAAAGCTGAAACTAAGGGCAGTGCGCAAAGAAAAGGATCAAGGACATTTTGACGCGTAGTGTATCTAGAAATAAAAGAGAACGAAGCCCCCTATGCTCGAAACAAGGTTGAACTCACTTTTCTAACGCGTTCCATCTTACACTTAATTTTTTTAACGTTCTTAGAACGTTAGTGAGCAGTTATAGATCACACACGGCAATTAAGGAATACGGGCGGATTATCAAGCTTCGATATCATACGCGCAGGCGTCAAATGATTAAATGAATTGCAAGGTCGTCGCTATCAACCGACCTTCTAACTCTTTCTCTTCCTCTCTCCTTCTCGTTTGCAATTATTGCTCACTTGCCCACGGTCAATTGCTCGGTAAATCGAATTTCCCGAGCGATGCTTTCAGAGAAGAATAGAATCTGTGTCGACGACGGCTTGATTTTTTCTCTTTCTTGGCGTCACTTGAACTATTTGGCGTGGGTGTCGAATCGAACCCGACAGAAGGGTTCTCCGACTTACGATTGCACAATTTACAATTTAATTAATTAAGGATCTACACTCGAAAGTACAGTCAACTTGGACTCGCTGGAACATGCAGCTGCTTATTCGTAGCCGCGTAGACTAACCCGCAACCATTAATTGCTATTCCGTAGACGAGTGTTTGTTTACTCCGCAAGCGGTAAGATCATTCTTTTTACGGCGTAGCGTTTAAAAAGAAACGCGCCTTTTTCTCACAATTACAGTAAAGCGCGAGGCGTAAACGCGCAGCCATATAACGAAAACGCCAATAAGTAATTTTCTCAATTGAAAGGCACGCGGAACTCCATGTTCGCGTAATAACAATTAAAAACCGGAAAACTCACGCGCGGGCATTTCGTTGATGCAGAGTTATGTTAAGTCCGCGGCCCAAGGCTGATTCTTGTAAATCTACGGCGTGAAATGCATATAAAAGTTGTAAGCGCGGTGTCATGATGAACAGAACGAGGAAATGTGTGTAGCGCGTCACGTGCGAATGTGTATTTGTTAACTTGAAGCAGGAACTCTTGACTAAAGCCTGCAAACAATCGATCGCCTCGTTATTTCCTTCGGGGGATGTGATTTTCATACTGAAATCGGGCTGGAGCATTAAAGAATCGATTTGGCCCTAGAACCAATTGCGAAACTGGCAAATAGGTATGCAAATATAAATTTTGTTTCTACCGTGTAAGGCGCTGGGATTTTCAGATTGGCTT